GGTCCACAAAGCAATACCATCGAAGAAATCATCCACAAATACAATATGAACACTTCACAACTGATTCCAACTACTCCCTTGAATTATTTTATAGGCAAAGACATATTGTTAAATTGTCCACTTTACAAACTACAAAAGAAATTGGTAAAATCATTATTTTCATGAGAAAGCTCTTTACAAACAGTACACAAGTTGGCTCTGTTTGGTTCGACAGACTTTCGCTGCAACTAAATTTCAGAGATTTTTATATTAGCCTTTAACCTGATCTCATTGTAGTACTTAAGCATTACATTTTTGCGTTCATTTGTGTTTTTAATATTAATTTTAACATAATGTGATGTATATCACAACCGGACTAGACCGAAACGTATACATATAACTTCGTCTCAACTGTCAAAAATAGCTATAATTAATTAATCAACACTATAGGCGAGTTGCTGAATTTAAAAAAAAAAATCCGCAGATCATTGGGAAATTAATGTACTGGCATAATTAGATATTGAGAATGAATATATTTCTTGTGTTTAAGATTTAATTTTTTGAAAACTCGATGTAATATTAATGGCTGAATGAAAAGGAACATATATCCGCTGTATTACCTCTTCAAATATCTCAATTGAGTATGTATTGTCGTCATCCGCGAAGTAAACAACTCCTCTTGATACGTTAGGCTTGAGATTGTGTCGTAACCATGTTAACCCAAGATTTCTTTGATCACTCCTCGATGTTTATGTTCTATCGACCGAGTATGCAAATATGTATAATTTACACCACAATGAGATAAGAAAATGTTTTGTCAAATTAGTTCCTTCATTGGAGTCTTCTACCACAATCCAGTGCAAGTTTTTGATGTGCGAAAAAGTATTGGCAATACGTGTGAGTTCTGCTTTCTGTACCGATCTTGCGTAAGTAGGCGTAATGACATATATGTATGGAAGCTCACTAATAAAGTGACGGAATATGGATGTCATTCTTGGGTGTAAGCCAGTTGATACAAGGCTGTTTAAAACTGGAATGAAAAAAGTACTTCATAAAGTAACATTGTTTTTTTTTTTGGTGCCCACTTCTATAAGATCTATAGGAGGACGCCCTCATTAACATAATGTGTGTGAGATTGCTTAGAACTAGTCGTTTGCATACGACAATGAGTGAATGGCATTGTTTGTTGTTGCTGCTATTATATATGTATGCCACAGATTGTCTATTTTCTGTGCTAGTGCTGGTACTAGTACTATCTATGCATATATTTTAAGCAACATCCCCGTGTTTGGTTGACAGGTGTGCAGTGTGCAAATTGGTCTAAATACGATGATTGCACTACCCTTTACAAGTAAAACGTTTCAAAATACATCTTATAATGTATTTAGAAACAATGTAAGATAATAATTAGGTTACCGTCTGACAGAAATAGTTCAATTTATTATCTACACAACCTACACTACCATGGTAACGTCTCGATACACAGCATCAGAAATAGTACACACACGGCAAAACATTTATTCTGCACATTATGAATTGGGTGATTTCAGTCATCTAACTGATGAATTCATCACTATGTAGGATAATTCAAAATAAATGTTTTGTGATTTGAGCAAAAACTTAGCACTAGTGGAGTCAGCAACTTGGACGTTACTGTTGTAAATGCACACTGCCCGAATTTTTAAATAGTAATTTTCCTCGGGGTAATCCATATTTGTAATCCCAGTGTATCAGATATTGCAATTTATATCATATCTCACAGGTTCACCATATAATTCAACCGTCGTTTGATATGTTGGATGGTTGATTGAGTCTAGCTTCGGACAGCATAGTCAAAAAAACTAGCGTGAAAGTTC